TTCTTCCTTCCTTTCCCTTCCTGTGAGTAGGCGTTGGGCGAACGGAGCGCAGGGAGTGTGAAGTCGGGGTTGTTGTCTGCTCTCAACAGCACACCTCATATGTCAAATGTGGAATGCAGAGCAGAAAGTGGATGTGGTTAGGCAGGAAGTGATTGGGACAGGTTGCAGCTGGTAGTCATAAATTACCTGTCATGACGTGCTCGTGAAGTGATGTGTACCGATTGTTAGAATATTTATTTGAAATAGCAAAATGCGCCCCTCAAAGACTCCTGCATGTCTTGTGATGTGGAGATTAATTTGACATTTTTAATAATGATAAGTAGTTTCTGATTTTTTGACGAATGTTACTTGTTTATAATCTTGTCGTGTGTATTTACTGAATGCTTATCGTGATTTGCCTCTATGTTGGTATCTGTAAAAAAATTCATTATTGCAAGTGACAAAATCGTGGCAAAGTTTGTTTACTAAGTGGGTTTGGCAGCCTCTGTCGCGAAATAATCTTTGCGGTGCTCTTCTACTTATTTTTTATCAGTAGCAATGACACCGGCACACCATTAAACAAATTTATCGCTCGGGCGGTCTGTAAGCAGGTTTAAAACGGCAAGGCATTAGGCAACATCAGTTCATTGCTGACTGATTTTCAGAGCCAATTCTCGGCGCCTTTTTCCTCTTGATGTACCTTAGTAAGAGACAAATGCAACTACTCTTGCAAGCATGGAAAAATATTTGAAACCTCCACTTCTATCAAAGAGGCAGTTCCCTTAAAAACTTGCCCAATTGGGAAAATGAGTGATCATCAGACAGTAATGTCAGAAAATCACTTTATTCGCCCTCCTTTAAGGGAGCAAATTTTGCCGTGTGCAGTGTATACAACGTGACGGAGAAATTAAATCCATTAACAAAATCCACAATTGCAATTATTACATCGACAGCAGCATAAAAGTTGACGATAAAGGAGGTAGTAGAGTAGGTAGGTCTGCAAATCGGTGGTTGTAATGGGTTGCGCCGCCATTCATTGCGCACTCGCATCCCACCCCTCAGTTTAAATACGTGGTGTGGAGTGGTGTTGCGGTTCCCACGATCGCTTTGTGCCAGGCAGTTGCGCATTTTATTGGTTGTCAGAGGGGCCACAGTATTAGGCACATGACAATGAAATTCTCACCACAATTTCGCACCACCTAATAGCCCCACAAATCCTCGAGTGGGGTCCAGATTCGCGTGACTGGTGAAAGTTGTTTGTCCTCTCCGTATTTAAGGCGAGGTGAGTGGGAGTAAGTTTAAAAAAATGGCTCAGGTGCTTACAAAGGACCTTCAGGAATGCGCTCTCTACTACCTCCTTTATCGAGCACTTCCAAAGCCCCAACGCAGTGGCAATGGTGTTGGTGTCCTTTGCAAACACAGTAACGGTAATTACACTGGGGCCATCTGCTTTCAGAAGTGATTTTGCACCAGCCAATCAAATTCTGCCTTTTGTGTTAAAAAATACCGACTTTCGTGATATACTTTAACACCAACTTTTTGTCTTCCCTATGACAAATCTTATTCAAATCGCTTTATTATTTGATTGGGCAGGACACCAACCCCTGTCCAGATCATTCTGTAAGAAATTTAATGGAGCAGATCTGTCAATACCACAATCATTTGCATTTGCCTCAGTCATTTTGCCAATGGGAAGGGAAAAGGCGATAGAAGTGATGGTGATTGTCGAAAATTTGACTCCAGAGACGTTGGGAACCTGTTTGCTCATGCAGATCTGTGTTGGGACTTATAACCGCGCAGACAAGACGGTGAGGAGCATCAACAAAGCAGCACAAGCAATCTCCTTGGCTAGCTAAGTCGTTGGAAAAAGAATTGCGTAACTTACTACTGAACCACCAAAGAAATAAATAAGAGGTGAGAAGAAGAAGAAGAAGAAGAAGGGAAGGCAAGGGAGAGAAGAATTGACTGTGGTAGAGGAGTTGAATGGATGGGAACGACGTGAGGTCTACTGTTTACTCATAAGTAGCATGAGGAACTGCAGTTTTATAGCGTGTGAGAAAAGAAGGGAAAGTAAAAATAAATGGTGCTGGAAGTAGGGTGTTGGCTGCAAATAACTAGCTGCGTGATTGTATGGATGGGATGTCAAACAGGTAGCCTTGTTGGTGACTGTGACGGGGGTGGTGGTGGTGATGATGGCGACGATGCGCTCGTGCAATCATTTATTCCCACACACATTCCACAATATCCGAGACAAGACATTTTACTCTTTGGTGCGCCGACGTTAAGACGACATTTAAAAGTGGGTGACGCCACAATTTATCAACCCTTAACTGCACCCTCTGTGGCGGATAAACAACAGAAGTGGCATTTAATAAGAATGGGCTTTTGTGTAAATAGAAAGTGCTTTAATCACCTTTAAGTGATTCTCGCATTCCATGACCTTTTCCTCCCACGTCTTCACAACATTGCATGCAATTCCCAGGCATTGCGCACCCCAAAACGATGTCGACTGTCTGATAAGTTGTGTTCCCACACGAGAAAGAAGGTCAAAGCAGCCAAATCATATGCTACTTAATTGTTAATAGGCGACACCGACTGACTCAATTTAAACACAAACCCATACGCACAGCAAAAGAGTCCTTAACAAGGAATAAGTGATTAAATAACTCATGTGTAAAAAAGGATTCTTAATAATTTTATTTATTTACCTACTTCCACAAATACCACATCCACCGCCTGCGTCACAGCGGCAGCAGTTACAAAAATTACCACCACAACAACAGCATAGTCGAAAGAGAAGAACGAAGATGAGAATTTTCTTTAGATCATCCAACGTGAGCACATCCGTCGTCACAGCCACCATGGCTTACTTATTGTGATGCACATGGTCGCAACTATGAGGCAACCACACGAAATAAAATGAAAAGACATGAAAGAAGCGCAGTTTCAAAATGACCTCTTTGACCAATGCAAATGCACATGCATGTTGGTCTGGCTGATGGTGACCTACTGTCAGGTCATTCGGAATTATTGTTTCGATGTCTACTCTAAAATTTTATTTAAAATGATAGAAGAAAAAGAGAAAGCGTTTTTTATTAGTTTGTGGATGCCTTAGCCCTGTGGTCTTTTTGAACGCAAGTCTCCACTTTTTCGGCATTGATGAGATACCAAATCTAGTAAAGAACCTAAAAAAATACCCTTTAAACGCTGAAATTGAGTCGTAATTGTGACGAAATGTTGAAATTTTAGAGCGCTACTGAAGTACGTTAAGTAGTAGATCAGAAAAAATCGAACGACTTTTATGACGAGACGACCAGAAATTAGGCGGCGACATTCAAGCGATTGCAGAATAGTCGTGGATTCGAGCCTGGAAGAAGCTTAATTGTTAAAGTATTGGAATGATTATTTGATGGATGTGCAGATGGCATCAAATTAGAAGTACGTGAAAAGAATTTGATTCCCAAACTAAGTAAAAATGAGGATGGACCCGCAAAAAAACAACCAGCTGCTACCTGTCCCAATCACTTCCTGCCTAACCGCATCCACTTTCTGCTCTGCATTCCACATTTCACATGTGAGGTGTGCTGTTGAGAGCAGACAACAAACCCGACTTCACACTCCCTGCGCTCCGTTCGTCCAACGCCTACTCACAGGAAGGGAAAGGAAGGAAGAGGGACAAGACGACGTCCTTCGTGAAGTCCATTCTACCAAACAAGTGTGTGCAAGGAAGAGGAGTGGTGAGGTGGTGGATGCACAAGGCGGGGTGGAGGTGGTGAGCGGTGCAGACGTGGACAGAGGCGGTCAGAGACGAGAGCGTGAGGCAAAGTGGAGGGAAGGGAAGGGAGTAAAATGCAAAGTGAAGTACGGGGCACTGAATTGGGAGGTGAGGAGGGGGAGAGAGAGAGAGGGGAGGAGTGGAGGATTAAGGCAGTCCACCAGTCCACTTGCCACATGGACCGCAATTCATGAGTTGGCGGTAGAGGAGGTAGTAGAGGATGTAGGCCTGCAAGTCGGTGGTGGTCACTGGTTGTGCCTGTGCCGCCATTCTTCACACCTTCGTTCTCACACCGTCCGCCGTGTCTCCACCTCCACTTAAATAGGTGGTGTGGAGTGCCGATGAGATTCGCACGACTAGTGGGTGACTGACTGACTGACTGTGTGAGTGAGTGAGTGAATGTGCGGATAAGTGGGAGAGTGGAGGATAAGGATGGCAGAGAAGTGCGTACATCTCGTCGCGTGAGTTGATGTGAGGGAAGAGGAGATGGCGATCACGAGGTGTCACCACCTGACAACCACACGGAA